GGCGGGAGCGGCGCCCCCGCCACCCTCCACCCGCGCGCAGACCCCAGGCCCGGCCCCGGCCCCACAGAGCCATGCTGTGCTGGAGGAGCTGCTGCCACCCGCCGGAGGAGCCCCCGGTGACCGCCCAGGTCGCCGCGCCGGTCGCGCTCCAACCCGCGCCCGCGCCCCGGAACGGCGACACCAAGAGGCCCGGGCTGCGGGCGCTGAAGAAGATGGGTCAGTGATGGGCAGGGGCTTCGGGGTGGGAGCCGACTGCCCCCAGGGGCGTGGCCTGGGAGGATCGGGGCGTCCCAGCTAGCCGTTCGAGGGCTTCCCGGGAAGGCTACGGCAAGGGCGGAGTGCCAGCTCCGTCCGAGGTGGGGGGTGGCACCTGGGGTCACCCGAGGTTCCCGCGCCGAGCCAGGCGTCCAGGATGTCCTTTGTTTCCCACCAGGCCAGGGCGTGCTGGAGTGCGAATTTGGACAAGGGGCGCAGACGGGGTCGCTGAGGGCAGGGAGGGCGGAGAGGAATCAAGGCTTGCGGTGCCCGCACCCGCCTCCCCAAGACTGTCTAGGGCCTGCGGGCGCCTGCGGGCATCTTGGTTCTTGGAGGCCCTTGGGAGGTTGAGTATTTGACAGGCCTCTGTGGAAGAGGCTGGCCTCCCACGCCAGCCCTCCAACCCGTGGCCCCCATAAGGCAGCAGGAGCCACACGACACTGGCAGGACTGGTCTAATTAGGAAGAATGCTGTCCTTGGGATCAGAGGGCCGAGGTGCCCATCTCCGACTCGGGGAAAGGAATGTAACTTGGCTTGTGAAGCACGTCTCAGGCAGCCCCGTACTGGGTGGGTCATGTACGCGGTGTCCTGCAACCCTCTTCACCTTCCTGAGAGGTGGGTGGCATGATCCCTATTTCACACATGAGGAAATTGACTCAGAGACGGCAAGGAATTTGTCTATGACCACACAGCTAGTAAAGGGCAAAGTCTGATGGGCGCCCGGGCTGTGCTCCACCACACTGCCACCATGGGTGCCCTCTCAGGGACTGGGCAAAACAGGACTCATGAGTGGTTCAGGGGCTTGCATGAGGGGGTGTGCGTGGGAGCATTTTATAAAACGTGAAGTACCTTTCAACTGAACTGCTGTTGGTAGAAGAGTTCATGACGGAGAAGTGGGCTGTGGAGCTAGAGAGCACCAGGGCAGGGCTGCCCAGGAAGCCCGTGTGAATCTTGGGGCAGAATTCAGGGGTCCCCATTGCTAGTCCTACCTTCTCTTTGCCACTGTCCCCTCTCTCACTCATTTAATCTGAACTTACTGGATACTGACTGTGCTCTGAGCACTGCCCCCAGCACTCTCCTTACAGAGATGCGAGACAAACCTCTGCCCAGCCCTCCATTTAACCGTGTGTGCATTCACAAACATTGAGTGCCTATGTGCGCCCTGCCCTGGGGCTTTAACCGCGAGCAAGACAGACACAGTCCTGCCCTTAGGGAGCTGAAGCGCCAGCCAGGAGGTCAGACGGTCAAACGAGGAACAAGACCATAGAGGGAGGGGCTGGGGGGGACGGTGGGGAGCCAGTGATGGCCAAGGGGAGAGGCAAGTGGGGGCAGACCCTCAAGGCCCCTCCTTGTAGAGTTAGAGACTTTATCTGGAGGGCAGCAGGAGCCTGGGAAAGCCTCAGGCAGGAGCAGGGCAGGCAATGAGTTGTGGCGAGTGGAGGGCAGGTTGGATGCAGCAGGGGTGAGGCAGGGAGACCTGGGGAGGGAGGCAAGGTGTCAGCTGGGTGGGGAGGCTGGGCTCAGACTTGGGCGGGTGCACACGAGATGGATTGCAGAGCCCCCTGGGAGGTAGACTGGGCCAGACTCTGATCAGCAGCTCTGAAGGTGTCTCCGGGGGGCAATGATACCATTCCCTGGGCTAAGAAGCAGAGTGGTTTGGGGAAAGGAGGGTGGCCACAGCACGGCAAGGTGCGCCAAGACAGCAGAGGGCTCCTGTGAGGCTGCAGGAGCAGCCCTGGGAGTCAGCCCCCCGCAGGGGCTATAGGTGCCCTGGGAGCCCTGAGGGGATGCTCCTGCATGCCCGCCTGCCTCTTCACTCCACACGTTTGCTAAGTGCCATCAGTGGGCCAGGGTGCTGTGCCAGGAGCTGGGGCCACAGAGATGATTAACACAGAGCCTTGCCCTCAGGGAACACACAGTGTTGTGGGCAGAGACACTTGTAGACAAATAATTATAGCCGAGCCCAGAACTCGGCACCCATCAGCTAAGTAAGGCTGCATGGGAGCTCTGGACACCTCATCAGGGTGACAGTCAGGAACTATGTGGGCGTCAGAATGTCATCTTGGCCACTGTCCCTCCCCACCACTGCCCTGTCCTGCTAAGTGACTGTCAAGACAGGAATGTCAAGTCAGAGTCTGACGTGTGGAATGTCCCTTCCCCAGGACACAGGGAGCCCAGGAAGAGGTGGAAACAAAGCCCAGGTGTCCTGTGGTCCAGTCCCTTGGGCCATCGGGGGCCAAGGCCTAGGCCTGTCACCCAGATAGTTTCCACTACCACCAGAGCCACCATGCCTCCTGAGATGACCCTCACTGCCAGGCCCTGCCACCCCCAGACCCTGCCACCACCATCACCACACCCCTTAGGCTAACAACAGATTTTATTTCAAATAAGGTGAAGGGACTAGGGCAGGGAGAAGGAGAGGTCAGAGACTATAAGGAAAAGAAAAGGGCTTTAGGGCCATGCTAGGGGAACCAGGACAAGGAGGGGGAGGGGTGCAGCATGCCGAGTGGGAGGCATTTGTGCAGCCTGTGGGGTCAGGGTCGGTCCTCTCTGGTCCCCTGCCCCCAGGCTGGGCTGCTGGCGTGGCAGGGAAAGTTGAAGACTAAGAAGAGGGCTGGAACCCAGCGCACCCGCGATACTCCAGGCTGTGCTGAGCTCGCACAGTCCTGATCCCACCTAATCCTCAGACCCACCATGCGGAAGGTGCTGTCCTCCTACCACCCATGAGAGACTCGAGGTTAGGGTGGTGTCACCACCGCCCAGGGATGTATGGTTCAGAGGCAGTGTCTGCCTGCCGCCAGAGCCTCATTCAATGATGGCTCTTATTGCCACAATTAATGAATACTAATGAACATCTTAATGACACTGTGCCAAGTGCCTTTTTTTTTTTTTTTTTTTTTGGCAGCTGGCCAGCACAGGGATCGAACCCTGGACCTTGGTGTTATCGGCACCATGCTCTAACCAACTCAGCTAACTGGCCAGGTTGGCCCAAGCACTTTTTGCATATTATCTCATTTAATGCTCACAATCGTAGGAGGTAGGTGGTACCATTAGCCTCCTTTTACAAGTGAGGAAACTGAGGCTCAGAGAGGGTTGGTAACTTGCCCAGGATTCAAAGGTCAGAAGTAATTGAGAGAAGATTTGAACCCAGGCAGTGTTCCCCAGAGTCTGTGCTCAACACCGTGAATGAAAAAGAAGCTTGTACCTGGGGGTGGGGAGCTGCTGCTCCTCTCTCCCATGGTGGCCCTGCCAGCCTCCAGGGGTGTCCTCATAGTGTTGCCAAATAAAAGCAGAGCGGCCAGTTAAGTTTGAGTTTCAGATAAACAACAAATCATTTGAAACATACTAAAAAAGTATTTGTATTTTATCTGAAATTCACATAGAACTGGTGTTCTGAATTTTATCTGACAGCCCCATCTCCCCAGAGCCCTGTCTGTGCCTCTGCCCTGATGCTCTGCCCTTACCCCTAATCCTCCCAGTGGGCAGAGGACTGAGTGGGCAGAATTCTGCTGCCTTCCCTCCCCGGCCTGCACACGTCACCGAGCGTGCCTGGGCGAGGGAGCTGTCCCGATGGCCCGCCCAGGATGCTCCTGCAGGGTGAGTGGGGCTGCCAGGTGAGGTTGGCAGGTGGGGGTCTTCAGAGCAGCCCCCAGTCCTGGCAGGTGCCTGGCCTGGGTAGTGGGGAGGCTGGGTAACCCCCCAGGATGAGCAGGGACATGCCAGGCAGGACTGAGGGGCTGGCTCTGTCAGGCCTTGAGGCCTCCCGACCTCTGCTCCCACCCGGGCTTCACGCCCGTTCTGGTCCTGTAGAGAAGGGGACTGCCACCTTCATCTCCCTGTGTCCAGCCCAGGGCCAGGAGAAGCACTGCCTGCCTTTCCTGACTTTGTTGATTCTCTAAGGAATGTTATGGACTCTGGCACTGAGCCTCTGCTGGGCTCCAGCCCTGGGCGTGGCAGCCGGCTGGGACATGCCTGGTATCTGAGGTGCTGGGGCTTCCTGTTGGCTGAAGTAGTGGGTGGAAAGGTGTCTGGGACCCCTTGCTGTGTGTCTTTTCCCAGGACCTCGTGGCCTCGGCCACCAGGAAACACTGCTCTTTCCTTTCCTCCTCAGCCTTGGCCTGAGGCTGTGGCTGTAGCTGTTCCCTGCATGTCTCGCATTCCTGCTGGAGTCCTGGGTGGTGTATGTGCTGTTCCTGAGCGTGCACTGGCTCTCACATACACGCTGCCTGTTTTCCTCCCCAAGCTGACCTGGCTTCCTCCCTTTCCATCCAACAGCCCCATGCACACATGCACACACATGTGCACACCACCTTACACACACAGGCTGCTCTCTGCCCCCTCCCCCTCTCGTCCATGCCCAGGAAGCACACAGCCCTCACCCGTCCCCACCGGCCTGCTCTGGCCTCTGCCCCCTGTGCCTACCCCTGCCTCGGGTGACCCACACTGTTTTCAGCATGCACCTCTGTGCATGTCTATGAACAGGGTGGGATTTGAAGGCCCCTTGCAGCTCCGACATGCACTTTCCTGCCCCTGCCTGGCCTTGGCCACCCAGACAGAACTGCTCAGGCCCCAGACCATACACTCCCCAAACTGCCCAAGCTGAAGGTGGAAGCTGAGAAACTCCAGGCCCTCCCATTCCCCATGATCCCTGGTTCCTCTCGGGGGCCAAGATAAGCAGGCGGCTCAGGGAGGGCATCTGAGCCCCAGCTGTAACGCAGCACTGGGCTGAGGCACCATACCGCTGGCCAGGGAGGGGCCCAGCTGGAGGCCATGGTACAAGGGGGACAGACTTATCGGTACAGCTGGGTGCCTCTTCCCTCCTGGGACACTGCCTCACTTCCCCAGAGCTCTGCCTCAGTTTCCTTCATTTCCTGAGCACCCACCATGGGCCAGGCCATAAATCGAGTGCTCCATGTGCTTTTGTTCATTATAGCGCATGCAGCCCTTTGGGGTCAGACTGCCCCAACTCCCAGAACATTCCAGCTCCACCGCTTACCCACCTAGTGACCGTGGACAAGTTAGTCAGCCACTCTGTGCCTTTTTTTTTTTTTTAAAGATGACCAGTAAGGGGATGCTAACCCGTGACTTGGTGTTGTCAGCACCACGCTCTCCTAGTGAGCCACGGGCCGGCCTTCATTTTAATCATTTTTAAGTGGTTAATTCACTGGCATTAGTAACATTCAAACTGTTGTGCAATCATCACTATTACCTATTTCCAAAACTTTTTCACTGCCCAAACAGAAAGTTTGTAGCCATTAAGCAGTAACTCACAGCTCTTCCCTCCCCCCAGCCCCTGATAACCTCTAATCTACTTTCTGTCTATGAATTTGCCTGTTCGGGTACCTCACATGAGTGGAATCGTACAATATTTGTCATTCGGGGTCTGACTTCTTTCACTTAGCGCAATGTTTTCAAGTTCATCCATATTGTAGCATGAGTTGGTTGGAGCACCGCCTTGTACCCTGTAACCCAACGTCAAGGGTTCAGATCACCATAAAGTTTATTTGGGGCTGGCTGGTTAGCTCAGTTGGTTTGAGCACAGCCTTGTAACACCGTATTGTAGCATGTATCAGACTTTACTCCTTTTTATGGCTGAATTATGTTCCATTGTATGTACAGATACTCCTCCATTGATGGTGTTACATCCCAATAAACCCATCATAAAGTCAAAAAATCATGTCAAACCAACATGAGTCAGGGATTACCTGTCTCTACACATTTTGCTTATCCATCCTTCTGTCGATGGCCACTTGGGTTGCTTCCACCTTTTGACTACTCATTTTTACTACTGTTATTTCATGTTTGTTCCCCTACCCACTCAGCCAAGGGTGGCCATGGCACTGGCCCAGCCCAGCTGCAGGGTCAAGGCAGAGATGGCTTGAGCAGATAGAAAGCCATGGCAACAGCAGGAGGTAGGCGGCTTGTGCACCTGCCCAGAGCTGGTAGGAATGAGGTCACAGCAACATCTGTGGGGTTGGGCCTGTCTGGACCTGTAAATATTTACTGGGTGGCTGGACCTAGAGCCAGGGCCCTCCCAGCATCACTGCCCTGGGCCTGGGCCCTCCTGCTGACCTCACCCCTTACTTCTTCCCTCACTGCCCCAGGGTTCAGAAGCGCAAGCAATGAGGAAATAGAGGCACCTGCCCAGGAACCTGGCCCCAGCCCAGCCTGGTACTACACCCTCATTTGTGTCTAGCTTTTCCACTGGACGTGTAGTTGGAGGGCAGTGGTCCATAAGCCAGTGCCAGTTGGGTGGGCAGCCTGGGATGTCATCCTGTCCCCCAACAGGCTCCTGGAGACCTGGGGGTAAGGGCAAGGAATAGGGGTGCCCTCAGTGGTGCTCAGTCAGGCATGCATTCAGACTGCCTGTGTCGATGGCCTGTTTGCAGAAGACTCTGGACAAAGCAGGCCCTCAGTGACTCACCTCCACTTCCGGCCTTAGTCATTCATCAGCCCCCTTTCCACCCTGAAGCCCCCCGCCTTGGGCTTGGCATCAGAGGGTTTGCCAGGTTAGGGGAGGTGGACCCAGCTGCAGAGCCTGCTTGTCATGGCAATGATGGGACCCTTTCCCATGGCTATGTGGGTGTAGGAGGGGTGGACCCAGCTGTGGCAGCACTGAGATTCCCCCTGATTATTTCTGCCCTCACCCCATTGTTTCTCACTATGAAAGCATTCAGAGGGTGGCCAGATGTGTGGGGGGGTGGTCTGGTGAACCCCTTGGCCTGGCACATGACATATACACCCAGCTCCTTGTCTGAAAGGAGGAGAGTTCCACCTCTCCTTCCTGACTTGGTGGCACCGAGTGGGCCACATTCTGGACCCTGAGAGACTCCTTGGAACTATTAGGGCCATAGGCTAGACCGAGGGGGCACCATAGCCACCTAAGGAAGGAAGTTTCTCCTCCTGACCCTGAGAACCTGAATCTCAATTATGGTCACCCTCAAAGTCACAAAGCAGGTTTTTAAAATACAGATGTCCAACCCCTACCCCACACAGAGAGAATCTCTGGGCTGTGGGTTTTGCAACCTCCCCCAGGGCATTTCTAAGGGGACAGCAAGGATTGAAAAACCCTGACCCTCTGCCCTGAACTTAGGACAGATGGGTAGGGCTGGGGGTAGAATGCACTTAGTGCCCCACCTGTCCATGCATCTGCCTCGCCCAGCAATAAGCACCAGCTGTGAGCCTGGATCTGGGATGAGCACTGTGGTGAGGAGATAAGACCTCATCCTACCCCAGGTTTATTCAAGTCCTCTGAAATTATGATATAAGTGGGGTGTTTGCTTCTGGCAGCTGGCCAGTAACAGGGATCAAACCCCGGACCTTGGTGTTATTAACCCCACGCTCTAACCAACCGAGCCAACCAGCCAGCCCTGTTTGTTTTTTGAAAACAAATCACAGAAGGCTTTCTGGAGGAGGTGGTGTCTGAACTTGTCCTTGAAGGACTCAAATATGAGGAAGAGAAGAAGGAAAGTATCCTGAAGGCTCCAAGAGAGTTGGGAAGGCCCAGTGTTTTAGACTTGATCCCTAGGTCAGAGTTTGCAATTAGGCAATCAGGGGCCTTGGGGCCACAAAGCCAAACCCAGGGGGCTTGTTAAAATAAAGAGAAGAAGAGAGGCCCACAGTTGTGTTTTATTTGGCCCACATGGTGGTTTTTGTTTTTTTGTTACTTTAATTTGATTTAGTTGCCAATGTTAAAAAATCTTGAAGCTTCACGTACGGATTCAGATTCCGGTTTTCTGGAAACTCTGGGCCCTCATCCACTCCTGGCTGTCCCCTCCCCCCAAAGGGCATGGACTCTCCAGGTTTCATGTTCCCACCTCTTCTATTGTCCCCTAGCCCAAAAACCTTTGGTTTTAAGGCCGGCCCGTGGCTCACTTGGGAGAGCGTGGTGCTGACGACACCAAGTCAAGGGTTAAGATCCCCTTACCAGTCATCTTTATAAAAAAAAACAAAAAACCTTTATTTTTGACTCTCATGGGGCCATTTCAGAGCAGGGTGTGGCACCACCAGGGCTGGGCATCACATGTTCGAGGGCCTGAGGGCTGAACCTCTCCAGGGCACAGTGTTGGTCTCACTGTAGAAACCCCTGAATTTAGGATTTTGCAGCAGGTGTTATTGTGGTCTCCATTTTATGAATGAAGAACGTAAGACTTAGGGCAATCACTGTTAGTGACACTAGGGACATGTAACTGGGAAGTGACAGAGTTGGGCTTTGACTCCCCAGACTCCTGCCTTTAAATTCTGCTCTTCCCCTGCCTCACCCTGCCCAGGCAGCAGGTGGTGCAGTGGAGGAAGGTGCAGTGCAGGGGCTGGGGGCAAAGGTGCTGGGCCCGCCCAACCTCTGCTCCCACCACTTCCCAACTATGGAATCCTAGGAAGTTACCTGAGCCTCGCTGAACCTCGGTTTTCTCGTGTGTTAACATATGAACAGGGCCTGCACACAGTAGGTGTTTTGTTGTTTTTTGTATGTTTGTTGGTGGGGGTTTTTTGGCAGCTGGCTGGTACGGGGATCCTTGACCTTGGTGTTACCGACACCGTGCTCTAAGCAATGAGTTAACCGGCCAGCCCAGCAGGTACTTTGCAAGCATTTATTTGCTTTTATTTTATTTATTTATTTTAAGAGTTTGCTTTTATTAAGGAAGGTGGACACTGTGGCTGGAGAGCACATGTGGGCCAAGGGATCACGTGGGGGTGTAACAGTGGCTGGGCAAGAGTGACCACCGAA